AGAGGAAAGAAAAGGAAAATAATAACCAATAACCACACATCGAGTGACTCCTGTCATGGAAATTACTAGCTAAATGAATAGTAAATGCTACGAATTAAATTATATCAATCAGGGCTCTGGTTGAGATCGTTCCTGAAGTTGAGGCTGAAACCCAGTCACGTGAAAGAAACAAGCGAATTTCTATCAATGCGTCTTCAAGGCCTTGGAAACGATGAACCATAACAAGAACGGTGTGAATTTAAGAAACAGGTGCTATTGCTCGATATTGTACTGAGACTCGCTGGTATTTTTTGCTCACCAGGGGATCATAGGAGCGATAGACTTCAATGCGCCGCCATGTCGGACGGTCTAGAGGCTGCTATGCAGCAACTCAAGATAAAGATGGATGCTATAGATCCAGATGGAGACCTTGATGCATGGGCTAAAGATGAGGCAGTAGAGAAGCCGCGTAGCCGCAGGATCCAACCGGCAGAAGAGCTGAAAGCTGAGCTGGAGAGAGAATTTCTGATACCGTCTCCGTGCTTCAACACTCACTGGCTGAACAAACTTCAGAGGTGAGTTGCAAAATATCACCGGAATCATTGATACCATGCTTACACCTGTCACACCAGGCGATGGGACTATCCAACAGATTACTCGAAACTCTTTGAGCTTGCACCGACCCAGAGTCGGACCATCATCAGATTCAACCGTGAAGGCCTAGAAGGTAAAGTCACCGGCTACCATGAAGTCACTGTTCCAGCCGGAAGTGCTACGGCGAAGAACTCTACTTCTTTACGAAGAAAACCAGCGATTCGTGCAGACTTTGTCAGAGGAGCTGCAGGATTCTACCCATTTGCACCAGGTGGCCTTGAAGCAGTTGATGACATTTCAGCCATTGATGCAGAGGCTGAGCTGGATGAAGATCAGACTGTGGAAAGTGCACCGAAGAAATCATCAGGCCTTGACAGAATTATCAATTTCGGTTCTCAAGGTGGTTTACTAGAGATACCCCCTGGATTCACTCGTGGGCTCAAGTTTAAAATCGAAGAGAACAAAGATGCCCAAGAAGGAGCAGAAGAAGTCCGCGAAGCACTTGAAGATGAAGATGAAACTGAACTTAAGCATCTACCGAGCCAGGAATCTGGAGATACTGCCAGAAAACCAGGCGTTGAAGAAGGTGGCGAAGACTCAACCAGTGAGGATGAGGAGGATATCGATGCACTTCTACCTGTGGAATACCCTGCTTTGGAACCTAGGGGACAACTCATCCAGTCTTCCTTGAAAAAGTCTCGCAAAGAGTGGGCTCATGTCGTGGATGTGAATAAGGAGATAACCAATTTCTACGAGCTTGTCCCCGATATGGCCCGGGAATATCCATTCGAACTGGATACTTTTCAAAAGGAAGCAGTGTATCATTTGGAGAATGGAGATTCCGTATTTGTCGCTGCTCACACTTCTGCGGGAAAGACAGTAGTTGCAGAATATGCAATCGCTCTGGCAAATAAGCATATGACTAAAGCGATTTATACGTCTCCAATAAAGGCCTTGAGTAACCAGAAATTCCGCGATTTCAGAGGTACATTTGATGATGTTGGAATCTTAACCGGAGATATACAGATTAATCCAGAGGCAAGCTGCCTGATCATGACAACGGAGATTCTTCGGAGTATGCTTTATCGAGGTGCCGACTTGATACGTGACGTGGAGTTTGTCATATTCGACGAAGTCCACTATGTTAATGACTTGGAAAGAGGGGTGGTATGGGAAGAGGTCATCATCATGCTGCCGGAGCACGTTAGCCTCATCCTTCTATCTGCCACGGTACCTAACACCTACGAGTTTGCTTCGTGGGTGGGACGGACAAAGAGGAAAGATATTTATGTTATCTCAACGCCAAAACGACCAGTACCACTGGAACATTATCTCTGGGCTGGAAAGGAAATATACAAAATAGTTGATTCGGAGAAACGGTTCATTGAAAAAGGCTGGAAAGATGCTGATGATATACTCTCGGGACGTGATAAAGCCAAAGCTCAGAAAGCAGCAGAGGCTCAGGCAGCTCGGGGTGGGCATCAGTCGGACAGGGGACGTGGCCAGGGTCAGCGTGGAAGTGGTCAACGTGGTACAGGGCAACGAGGTGGCCCTCAACAAAGAGGCAGAGGGCAGCCATCAGCTCGGGGAATTGGCAATATTGCAAGGACAGGACGTGGCGGTGGCAGGACCTCTGCTGCGCAGGACCGTAATGTATGGGTACATTTGGTGCAATATCTCCGAAAACGCGAAATGCTACCGGCTTGCATTTTCGTCTTTTCTAAGAAACGATGCGGAGAGAATGCAGATTCTCTTTCTAATCAGGACTTCTGCACTGCTGCAGATAAGAGTGCAATCCACATGGTCGTGGAAAAATCGTTGACTCGTCTCCGGATCGAAGATCGAGATCTCCCACAGATCCGTAAGGTTCGAGAACTGCTTAGTCGAGGTGTTGGTGTCCATCATGGTGGCCTTCTTCCTATCGTTAAGGAAATTGTCGAAATATTGTTTGCAAAAGGGCTTGTAAAAATCCTATTTGCAACAGAGACGTTTGCAATGGGTCTAAATTTGCCTACTCGCACAGTTGTCTTCTCTGGATACCGGAAGCACGACGGAAGGGGCTTCCGAGACCTCCTAGCTGGAGAATATACCCAAATGGCTGGTAGGGCTGGCCGTCGTGGCCTCGACACAGTCGGATCGGTTATTATTGTCACATCCGGCCGTGATGAAGCCCCGCCTATCACGACACTGAGGAAGATGATACTCGGTGACCCGACGAAGCTACGATCTCAATTCAGACTCACGTATAACATGATGCTGAATCTTTTACGTGTCGAAGCGTTGAAAATAGAGGAGATGATTAAGCGAAGTTTTAGCGAGAATGCTACGCAGGCACTTCTCCCTGAACATGAGAAACAAGTGCAGCTATCTGAAGCCAGTTTGGAAAAGATAAAGCGAGAGCCTTGTGCAGTCTGTGATGTTGACCTTGCGGCCTGTCATCAGGCAAGCGTTGAGTATGAACGTCTAACAGTTCAGTTGCATACACTGCTCCTGGCTTCTCCTGTTGGTAAACGTATGTACGCCGCGAAACAGCTGGTTGTATTCAAAAAGGTAAGTAATATATAGTTATACGTCCGAATACGTAGCTAAAGTCTAATTCTTTATCTATAGAATGGAGTTAGGACGGCTGGAGTACTGATGAAGGAGGGAGTCACCGGTGGACCTATACCATCCTTGAACGTTTTCGAGATCGGCCCAGTTGAATCTCGAAGATTTCCCAGTGATATACTTCCGTACATGCCCGTTTTCAGGGAGTACTTCCACCCGTTGCCAACGTCGCCTGAGAACATGGTTCTAAAGAGCTGTAAAGTACCGATCGCCAATCTTGAGTGTGTGACAGGTACAACGGTGCGGGTTGGCGGCCCAACTTGGTGTCTCAATATCCATAAAGGTCCGTCACCCAATGTATGAGATCTATAAGGCTGAGCTAACTTTGACTCAAGAGGCATTGAAAGTGGCAGATAAGGAATTTTCAAAACTTTGTGCATCATGGACAGACAAATCCTGGGATGAGCTTGACTGGGAACGAGTCAAGGACATGTCTGTCAGGGAAGTGCTTGAGCAAAGGGCTCAACAGGTTAAGATTGCGAAGTCCTGTGCATGCCTTCAATGTCCACAGTTCCTCAAACATGTAAGCCTAGTCCTAATGGACAATGATATAAGCTGATATAGGCTGACATTTGCTGGATAGTTTGAGATGCAACATGATGAATGGCAGGTGAAGGAAAATATCTCGCAGCTGAAACTGCTAATGTCAGATCAAAACCTCCAGCTCCTGCCTGATTATGAACAACGAATCCAAGTGTTAAAAGATCTGGGCTTCGTCGACGAAGCCAGCCGAGTTCAACTCAAGGGAAAGGTCGCCTGCGAGGTAAGTTGTTACCGATTGTGCCTTATTGAACAACAACTGATTGTGTGACACTGGTACCAGATCCACTCAGCGGATGAACTGGTACTCACCGAGCTGATACTTGAGAACGTGTTGGCGGAATACGAGCCAGAGGAAATCGTAGCCCTCCTGTCCGCGTTTGTCTTCCAGGAGAAGACAGAGAACGAACCAAACCTGACACCCCGTCTGGAGGCCGGCAAGGAAGCTATCATAGCAATATCCGACCGGGTGAACGACCTGCAGATCAAGCATCAGGTCGTGCTCTCATCCGATGACGCCAACGACTTTGCGAGCAAACCACGGTTCAACCTGATGGAAGTTGTGTACGAGTGGGCACGAGGGATGACGTTTAACCGCATCACGGACCTCACGGACGTGATGGAGGGCACTATCGTGCGGGTAATTAGTCGATTGGATGAAACTTGCCGCGAGGTCAAGAACGCTGCCAAGCTGGTTGGAGATCCATCCCTGTACAACAAGATGCAGCTGGCGCAGGAGATGATCAAGCGAGATGTGATCTTTGCAGCTTCACTCTACCTCTAGCCGTCTATCTCAATCCCAGCCCCAGCGTCCACCGCGCTCTCGTCCAATATCAAAAACACCCCCTTTGCCCCTTTTCCTCGCGCGGTTCAAATATATTTTTTAAGCTTAAAAGTCAAAATAAAAAATACAAGGCACGGCGTACGGGCCTGTAAATACACCGCGCACACAGCATAGATCGCCCAACGTTACTGTACGTAATTACAGCGTAAGGCACCGCCAAAAATAATTCGTCCCCGCCAAATCGTTCTCGTTGCTTTCAATTCCAACGTCAGAAGCGAGGAGAGACGCTGAGATATATACAAGAGCCAGGCTACCGCACCCGCACCGCTACCAGCCCTTATATCCCCCGGCTGCTTTGCTCGGACGCCGTTTGCTCGAGCCCAGTGGGACTGCGTAGCCCCTCGTCGAGTCTACCTGATCGTGCGTATACGGCACTAGGGGTTACCTTTTTTTTTTTTTTTCTTATAAAAAAAGACGTTGGACCAGGTTGCGCGCAATGGATGTCGCTACTCTCAGGGACCGTATAAAGTCGACCCTTGACAGCAATGGAGATACCAGGAGACAGGCTGAGTTGGACTTGAAATATGTGTGTGCTGGGTGCTGGGGCGTGTTGTTTGCTGAATTGACAGCTAACCTGTAACCCACGTATTTTTTAGGCAGAGAACCAGCCGGGCTTCCCGAACGCCCTTATTGATATTCTCGAAGCCGAGCAGGATCCGGCAGTTCGACTCTCGAGTAAGGATGCATCACCAGATCCGGGCAATTCCTTGCTTGGTCGGATGAGGATCAAGGCTAACACCGTGTTGCGCAGCGGTTGTATATCTGAAGAATAGGATCACTCGAGGATGGGCGCCGGAGGAAGAACACTCGATATACAAGTCGATACCTGAGGACGAGAGACCATCATTGCGCAACCGACTTATTCCCGTTCTCGCTTCGTCGCCTCCTAATATCCGGGTTCAGTTGATCCCCATACTCTCCAAAATTCTACAATTCGATTTCCCTGAAAAATGGCCGGATTATATCGACATAATGCTTCAGCTGTTGAATGGAAACGATGCCAACTCTGTTTTTGCTGGTCTGCAGTGTCTCCTGGCGATATGTAGGGTTTATCGATTCAAGGGCGGTGAGATGCGAGGCGATTTTGATAAGATTGTTGAAATCTCGTTTCCTCAGCTGTTGAATATTGGAACTCGTCTCATTGATGAGGAGAGTGTTGAGGCCGGAGAGATGCTAAGAACTGTCATCAAGGCCTTCAAAAATGCTATATATGTATGTCGTTTATTTTCTTTCTTTCTATTTATTGCCCTTGTCTCGGGTGCAGGGCCGTTCTTGGCTAACAACGTCGAAGTTTGAACTTCCCATCGCCCTTACTACTCAGCAGGCAACGGTCGGTTGGTGTACCTTGTTCTTAAGAGTAATAGGAAAGGTGCCCCCAGCAAATTCTATGCAAGACGATACAGATGAACGAGAACAGTCCCACTGGTGGAAGTGCAAGAAGTGGTCGTACGCCAATCTGAACCGCCTGTTCATTCGGTATGTTAAGGAGATCATGAGCATGATCTTTCGATATAATTGGGCTACCCCTTTTCGATTATTTTGCGCCAACTCGTGACTCGTATGTCCTGCTAACCATAATATCTAGCTATGGTAACCCTTCTGCAATTTCAAAATCAAGTGGCCCGGAGTACATTGAATTTGCAAAGACCTTTATCACCACTTTTGCTCCCGAGATCTTGAATGGATATCTTCAGGAAATAGACAAATGGGTCTCCAAGGGCCAATGGTTGAGCAGACCCTCCCTGTCCTATACCCTTATCTACCTCCAGGAATGTATCAAGCCAAAGGTCACCTGGGAGATCCTCAAGCCTCATATGGATAACCTCCTAGCTCACTTCATTTTCCCTATCTTATGTTTATCAGACGAGGATATCGAAATGTTTGAGACTGATCCATCGGAGTATTTGCATCGAAAGCTGAACGTCTACGAGGAGGCCACTGTTCCAGGAGTCGCCGCTACAAACTTCCTGGTATCCTTGACAAAGACAAGGAAGAAGCAAACGTTTTCTATCCTTACCTTCGTGAATGGAATCGTCAGCAAGTATGAAGCTGCGCCCGATGGGCAGAAGCTCCCGAGAGAAAAGGAGGGTGCTCTTCGGATGATCGGAACCCTTTCCTCTGTTATACTGGGGAAAAAGAGCCCCATCGCAGATCAAGTGGAGTACTTCTTTGTCCGCCATGTTTTTCCCGAATTCCGTAGTCCACACGGATATCTACGAGCACGAGCCTGTGATGTCTTGGAGAAGTTCGAGCAGCTGGACTTCAAGGATCCTAACAACCTCATGACAATTTACCGCAACATTCTCGACTGTCTTGCTGATCCTGATCTGCCTGTAAGAGTGGAGGCCGCCCTTTCTCTTCAACCATTGATCCGTCATAGCATCATCCGCTCTTCGATGCGAACAAATATTCCTCAAATTATGCAACAGCTCCTAAAACTCGCAAATGAAGTCGATGTCGATGCTCTTACAAATGTCATGGAAGATTTTGTTGAGGTCTTTTCCGCCGAACTTACGCCTTTCGCCGTCGCCTTGTGCGAGCAGCTTAGGGACACCTATATGCGTATTGTCCAAGGTCTCCTTGAGAGAAAGTCAAGTAAGCCTGAGGACGATATGTACGGTGATCTGCTGGATGACAAGAGTATTACGGCAATCGGTGTGTTGCAGACTATTGGTACTTTGATACTCACCCTTGAGAGCACCCCGGATGTTCTTTTGCACCTTGAAAGCGTTCTCATGCCTGTGATTACAATCACATTGGAGAACAAGCTCTTCGGTGAGTATTTCCTTCAATGAGACTGAAACAATAGCTAACTTTCGTAGATCTTTACAACGAGATCTTTGAGATCATCGACTCCTGCACGTTTACTGCCAAGTCCATCTCTCCCAGCATGTGGCAGGCATTTGTGCTTATACACAAGACTTTCAAGGCTGGTGCGGAGCTTTACCTCGAAGGTTTGTATATCCGTTATCCTTAATATTCTGTTCATTGCTCACCTTCCCACGTTAGATATGCTACCTGCCCTGGACAACTTCGTGACCTATGGTGCCGCCACCTTGGCTCAGAACCCAGAATATCTCGCGGCTGTCGTTAGTATGGTAGAGGACATTTTCCGAGATGAAAAGAGCGGTGGTGTAGATAGAATTTGCGGCTGTAAGCTTGCAGAGACTATCATGCTAAATCTCCGCGGTCATGCAGACCAATATATTCCTGTCTTCATCAGCCTGGCCATGCAGGGTTTGAGCAATGAAGAAACCCAAACCAAGTCATACCTGATTCACCTTATGGAGATGGTCATCAACGCCATCTACTATAACCCCGGCCTCTCACTCCAGGTTCTAGAAGGCGGCCAGTGGACGAACAAGTTTTTCAGCACCTGGTTCTCCAACATTGACAACTTCAAGCGTGTTCATGACAAGAAGCTGTCAATTGTGGCCATTTCTGCACTTTTGACTCTTAGAGCCGAAGATGTTCCAGCTAGCATCCAGCCAGGATGGCCACGTCTTCTCCAGGGTGTTACTCGTCTCTTCCAGACTTTGCCAAATGCAATTAAGTGTGAGTGTTATGGATATATTACATGCAGTGCGGGACTAATGTGTGTGTAGTGCGAGACGAAGCAGCCAAAGATGCAGATCTCCCGTATGAAGATGATGATGGAGACAATGATTGGAGTGGTCGGGATGTGGAATGGTCTGAACAAGATGCATCTGAAGGTCCGGAAATTGACGTGACTGATGAAAGCTCTGCCTACATTGAATTCCTGCACCAAGAGGTATGCTCCCTTAAGACAGGGTATGTATTCCACCATGTGCTTGAATACTAACAATCCGATGCAGGCCCTGAAAATCGGCCAAGTTCCTGACGATGAGGAGGAGGACGATCTATATGAAGCTAGCTTGCCGGAGTCACCGTTTGACAAGGTTGAACCATATGGCTTATTCAAGGATGTGTTAATGAGTACGTTACCCCCTACCTGTTTGCTCCACCGTGCACGCTAACCACATACCTCCGCAGACCTTCAACAAGAACAACCACACTTATACGAGAACTTGACCAAAATTTTGAACCCCGAGGAACAGCAAATAATCCAAGGTGTGATCAACGAAGCTACCAAAATAGCAATGACAGCCGAGAAAGCAGATAAGGCAAACGGTGGTTCTTAAGATTGGAAAACTAAAGTAGGTATCTATCTAATGTTAATGATTTTTGCGAAAAAGAATTCACTCTCTTCAGCCAACCAACGAGAAAATTGAAATATAACCAACCAAACACAAAAATAAAAAAAAATGATAAGACTGTTTTTACTTTATTCGGCCCTTTTTTCCCATTCGTTCCCATTTTAGATTTGGGGTGGTTTACCATTGCTTGTTGTCCGTTTGCTACTCCTTTTTTTTTTTTATATCCCAGGACTAAATGTCCAGTTAGCTTTTTTCTCCTTGTCAGTGCACTCAAATATGATGACATATTTATCTGCTTCTTTTACGTAGATCTTTGCAAGCATATCCTACAAGGAGGAAGATGTATGTATCCTGGTGCTACTGGGCTCGTATCCATGGAAAAGGTACATAGGGACTAGGTACCAGTTACGTGGCGAGACGTCTTTGCTCTCCGAACGAACTGATATACCTACTGACGTCATACGGGTAAAAATCAAGGATATAGATATGATGGATGGTTATATATTGGGGGCTTTTTCTTGATGATGTTGAAGTTTTTGACATCTCGGTCAAAAGAAAGAGAGAGAACAATCAACCATACATATATCTGATATCAACCTGATATATTACATCGACATAAATACTTGCCACGCCAAATATCGAGCTCTCAAACAAACCAGAAGCAAAGCAAACCAAAACATGTCCGCTCCAAAGTCAGGCCGTCAGTCTCCTCCTCCATCGAGACAGGGCGGAAGCCAGCAAGGCGATATCCCAACATGGTCTGGCAAAGCAGAGCAACCAAGCCATGGAACGTCTTCGATCGATAACCCGTCCGATCCACACGGCAAAGATCCAGGTGTGACAGGGCTGGAGAGCAACCCGGTGCATCCTCTCGCAGAGACATCGCAGTTGAAGCACAGGAGACTGAGCGAAGATTTTCACGGGCTGGGATCTTCGGGCTATTAATTTCTGATTCTACGGATTACTGCAATGGATGAGGGGGGAATCAGTAACTATGGTGAACGATGGTGAATGGAAAAACTGCAGTCATGTATAGCAATTAATTGATTCATGATAAATCGCTCACTGGAACGATACTGGTATTTTCATTAGATATCATAAATATCATAACTAGGCACAGAAGTGAACATATTTATAAGGATATAAAACAAGCATAGCCGAGAAGAAAATAACAAATGTGGGGATAAGAAGGATAAGATGAGCTGCCGACTACTTGGTCTCGGCGGCGGTTCCTGGGACGGTTTTGGGAGCAGAGGGGTCTCCGACCGGGACGCCCGTGGGGGCAGTTGGGGCACCCTCAGTAGTCTGTGCTGTCTGTCCCATGGCTGATTCAGGGGACGGAGAAGAAGCATGCTTCAGGTCCGCGAGACGACGGGCCTCGTTATGGATGTCTCTGACCTGCTTGTCGCTCTGGAGGTAGAACGCTCTGATCTTGCGGCCGGTGGGAGTATCTAGGGCCTTCTCGAAGTAGGAGCTGAGTCCACGCCAGCCGCTAGTAGCCTTATCAGAGATGCCGTAGCTCTCATCTATGCCCTTGGCCTTATCGGTAGCATGGTACTTTGAGTCAAAGTTCTTCAGGACCGCGTTGAATCGAGCAGAGATGCCGTGAGTCTTGTCCAAACTGATAGCCTTCTCGATGGCCTGGTCGCTGATGGCGTAGCCATGGGCGAGGTACTCTGCAACGATTCGAGAGCGTGGCTTGTCTTCCTGCTCAAGATGGTTGCTGGCTTCATCTCTGGCTCCGTGAGCAGTGGTAGCCTTTTCACCGGCTAGGTCGTCGATGCTTGGTGCAGCAGTGACTTTGACGGCAGAGGGGCCGAGTTGTGTCTGGTCCAGCAGGAGGGCAGTCTTAGCGGCACTATCCAGTACCCTTGTTAGTATTTTATCATGTTTTACTTGGGGGAATTGTGGGTAATATCTTACGTCTCCTTCTCGAATGTGACGGTTGCCGACTGGGTTGCTTCAGCGTCCCCGCTGCTTGGGGTGAGCGACAACGAGGTGATTTTTCCACTAAGCAGGAAGCCCGTTAGCATTGACCCGTAAGAGACAGCGTCTTCTCACCCCGACTTACCAGAAGCTGAAGAAATCTCTGACTTCCTTCTCGGAGGTCTTGGACGAGATGTTCGCCACATGCACAGTAGAAGACATATTGAGTCGAGAGTAGCAGTAACTAGTAACCAGGTATATTCAGGCGTATTCAAGGCTAAACAGCGTCGAGTCAAGGTATTCCCAGCGTAAGAATATCTGATATAATCCTCTTCTTTCTCTTCTTCTCTTCTTCTTCTTCTTCTCTGCTTCTGCTGCTGTTGTTGTCTTTTTTATAGTCGAAGCGCCCGCAGAAAACAAGCGCGCGGGGCAGAAAAAGTCACCGCCTGCGCCACAAGTGACGTCGCACCGCACGAGCCACCTATGACGTTCGCTTTTTCCATGTGAAACGAGGCGGTGCGGGCGGCTATTATTATTGTTGTTGTTATTATTATATTACCGTCGAGTGGTTGTTATTGTCCTGAAATATCACTTGGGACGGCGTGGCTATAGCCAGGGGCAGAGGGAAGAGTGACGATACTGGTCAATTGCTACTGCTGGCCCATAAGGTGGCCACTGAAAATACACTGAGAACGCACAAAAAGAAACCCTGTCTCTTGAAAATCAGCCCATGTCTACGGAATATCACGTCCCGGTCTAGCAGCATCCTTGTCCCTGGCCTGACAACCCGCCTCGCCTCGAAGCTACACGTTAGTTACGACGCTCGCGCAGAATCTTCTCGAGCTCGCGAACCCGCCGTCTCAGACTCTCGTTCTCCCGCTTGACCACTTCCAGCTCGGCTCGGTGCCGCGCAGCCTCTTCGTACCGAGTCGTGCTCGAGACAGACTCCGACCGACGGTGAGCTCGCATTGCCGACTCCTCCAAGCTATGTGGTGAATGTAGCGGCGGAGACGCCATTTCTGGCAGGCGGGGGAACGATCCAGACGCTTCACGGCTAGCACTCGGGCGCTGGAAGTCCATTGATTGGCGTGAGGACGATGCTCCGGTGTCTCGCGACGGGACGACGCTTGTCAGCGCTGCAACGGCGCTGCCGGGCACATAGCTCGATCCGCCGATGCTTCGGGAGCTAAGAGTCGACGATGATCTATGGCGGGAGGTTGACGTTGCTCGGGGGGAGGCTACGGCGCTGTACGGTGCCCCGTCGGCCTGGTCGTTGACGTTCGTGGACGTAGACGATGCCGTTGATGCGACGGATGCTGTCTGGGCACGCAGAAGAGAAAGCTCTCGCGTGAGACGGTTTACCTGCCGAGTTGTGTCTTGGTTGGTATGCTATTGCTCGCTAACACGGCCCATGGGGCGGCGACGGTAGATGCGTACCACTGCCTCTTGCTCTTTCTCCAGCTCTAGATGGATGTCCGATATAGTCATGGGCCTGGGATGACGCAGCGGGCCTGTATTATTGTTGCATGTTAGTTAACTATCTTGTTTACGCTTGTCAGGGGGGGAGAAGTAAGTAAGGTAGCCAGAGACACCCACCCGGCCCGCCACCAACGCCCGTGTTGTCGCCCTGCACACTGCCGCTGGACGAGGCGGTCGAATGCGGCATCAGAGGAGGCCTCATCGCTCTGGAGGCACTTCGAGACAGCGACGGCGACGACATCGACTGAGATGCTCGCGCGGCCTCGGTCTCTGCAGCTTCGTCGGTGGCGCTGCCTGGTGATCCGACGTTCAGTCCCGGCGACATATCGTAGGCCCGCAACGGTTGAGTGAATATGTATATATATTTAGGCACCGGCTGTCCTCGTTGAACTTCTTATAGCAGCTGACGGCGGCGGGTAAAGGCAGGTAAACGAACAGGAGCCCGAGCTGCCCTTTTGTTTACCGTTTCTTCGAAGAGGAAGAAGTAGGAAACGAGTTATTCTGATCTTGGCTGCATAAGTGGTGATCTTACCAGCCATCCCTTTGGAGCGAGACAGACGGCGTCACCCTGTATCAGGGTAGCAACGGTGACATATGGGGGGTCTTGGGCCCGGCGAATACAGCTATATCACATCCCTGGCATGTAATCGGTTCATATAACGGGCCAGTTGGCTTTCGAATCGGGTTGACAGGTGCTATAGTTATATATATTCAGACAACCACCAGGTGAATGATGTAGAAAGTCCATCGAGTAAAGAGGCCTTTGCAATGCTAGAAGAACGTATCTATACAAAAAAGAGTCAAGAATTAAAAAAGGAGTCCGGCAGCGAAAGCCAGTGAGTGCAATAAAACAATTTTAAACAATAAAAAAAGAGAATAAAAGAAGAAAAAGATCAAAATCCTACCCAATAGACAGAGAATGACACTGAGTTTCCAACCGTGAACTCCATAGACAGAGCTATGCAATTTATCCTTGATCAAAAAAAAGTGCACAGTGCTCCCCTGATACCAGTCTCATAGTTACCATCCACCCATCACGATCACAACAAAGGAAAAAAACAAAACGGGGTTCGACGAATGTCACCCGGGGAAAAGGAGAGTCGGGCAGAAATCAACCCCCTCGAAGTCGAGGTCTTGCCGTGTATATAAGTTCTGTTGTATAAACACCCGCGTCTAGCTGATGGGAGACTGGGAGGAGATCTCCGTGGACTGCGACTGAGCTTCTTTCCCTTCGTAGGGGGGATCTTGGCCCTTTGAGCTTTCGCGTTGAGGGTCACAGTTCCCGGAGTCGCTAGCCTGACCGCTGGCGGGAATTGGGACCGGCTGGCTGGAAGTCTCGGTTCTTTCGTTCTCTGCATCACCGACCATGGCTGCGAGGCTGCGGAAATTAAACACAGCGTCAATGTTGGGGTTCGAACCGTTGGGAGTGCCAGTGTCCTTTTGGTCGTCGAATGCGGATTCAACCAGTGATATGTCGGATGATGAGGCGCTGGAATGGGAGCGTGGATGTGGTCGAGGTGAGGGAGACGCTCCTGCATGCGCGGAGGATTCGCCAGCAAGGGGGGTGTTGAGGGTTAATTTAGGTGGTTGTTCAGTCGCCTGAGATGAAGATGACGCTTCCCCTTGTTCAGCTGGAGCTGGAACCGGAGCTGGAGCCGGGCGAGCTATGCCTTTACCTTTATCCTGCAAGGAGACGTTTTCTGGAAGCCCTGCATCAGTGGAAGTAGGGCCGGTAGTAGAACTGCTGCTTTCATTGGTGCTGGAGGATTCTTCATTCTGAGCTGCAGACTTTCCAGCCCTTTTAGCTTCCTTCTCACGTTTCTTCGCTTCTTTCTTCGCCTCTTTCTCTTCCTTCTTCCGTCTTTCTTCCTCCGTTGTAAGACTGAGGCGGATGGCTTCCATTATCATCATTTCTTCTATCTCTTCCGCTCTGCTCCGTTCTCGTCTTGATGTACCCCTTGCAGAGTTATTATTGGATTGCTCCTCGCCATCGATACGCTCGGTTGCGCGCCTCTCGGCTAGATAAGCAAAGGCATTGACATGGGTGGAGTTGCTCCGGCTAGTAGGGCTGTCGTTACCAGTGCCTCGGCGTAGGAGAGCTCGTCTCCCAATATTTGCCAGGTTTCTAGACTCACCATTCGAACTAGATGTGCTATTATTGTTGTTGTTATTGTTCATTAGATATGCTGCAGTATGCAGAGCGGTGGCAGCGGCTGATCGTCTTGCGGCATTTGCTCGAGCTGTAGCTAGCTTTTGCGCCCAGTCGGGACGAATCTTATCAGTGGTGATGACTCCCGGTGCATCCGCAGATAAGGAGGTGGCACGTCGTCGTGTCGTAGTCGTACCGGGGCTTGCATTCGCGGAGTTCAACGAGCTTGACGACGACATTGGCGAAGCCACTGCTCCCAGGTGATGACCACCATGTCCTGGGGCATAAGCGAGACCACGGCGGAACGGGGGTTGCGCGTATGTTACACCAAACTCAGGCTGCACGCAAAAGGGGCAGGCAGCAGGTTCGGTTACAAGTTGGTGTTCAGACT